TAGTGTCTTTTCGTCTTTTCTATTTCTATGAGATGAAAGCTGAAAGCCAAGCTGTCGATCGAATGAAGGGCGTCTTTAATTTTCCTAATGGCAGAAGAAACCAAAGGAAGTAGGGAAGTTGTAAAAGTGGCAGTGTTGCTGTGGGGGCTGTTGTGACAGTTGCAGCTGTGTTCATTTTGAATCTGTAAGAAAAATTTACTTCTTTTTCACCCAAAATAAAGGGAAAACATGTGGAAAATAGACATAGGGAAGTCAGAGGAGGAGGGAAAAAAACTCTCATAACAACATTTCAGAGGGGAGCTCAACCCCGGGGAGGAATTTGCTGTGCTCATGTGACTACCCATGTGAATGGTAGTTGTTAAATCATCATTCGCGGGAGTGCAGGGAGTGTGTGGAGATCAGTGTTGCTGGAGAGAAGCAGAGGGGAAGAGACTACCGCACACCCCGCAGGTGATTCACGTATTGGAACCAAACCAGTTCTAAATCTACAGCTGTACTCACACTTCCGGCATCAAAGTGCTATATTTTAGTGGCAACTGAAAGCCAGTTAGTGTTTATTTCGTTGGGTGGCATCTGTCAGCCCTTGAGTCTGATGGATTTTTTCACTCACTTTGTACACCTAAAACAACAAGAAACCCATAAAGCACAGAAATAAAATAGCAATTCTGAGAGGAATATGGATATTCTTGAGGCCCATGCTGAAAAACAACTCATTTATCACACTCCTCCACAGTAAGGCTGGCAACGTGGCAGTGCCGTTGACACTGGTACGTCTCAGGTCTTCTTCTCAGCAGGGTAAGGACACAAGTGAAGACATCGTCTCACTTCTGAATGACAGCCATCATGTTGCGCTCTGACGGGCGGTCATATCTCTAGGCCCTTGAGGACAACAAGGGGACATGCTGTCATGAGCATACTAGCCTCTCTCCTCCACTCACCTGTGACAGTGTCTGGACGACCTTTAACGTGCGTCCTCAGGGGACCAGTAGGGCACGATGATGCAAACCACTCTCAGACTTCATTAGCTTCCTTGTCTGTTATTAATTCTCCTCCTGAGAGTGTCCGTATGCTGGGCCACCTAAGAGATCAGACATGCAGTAGATGAAAAGAAGTAAACAGGGGAACTCTGAAAACCCCTCCACATGTTATCTATCTTGAGTACTTGAAGTATATTGAAGCCAGGTGGCATCACCGGGAAGTAGATTGTGGGTAATCTACTAGAATTCTCAATGCGCAGATTGTCGTAAGTCTGAAAAGCTCCTGTGGTGGTCACATGACATACCTGCAAAAATGTAAACAAAAGACTGTGCTTCTCAAATGCCTCTTTTATAAAGTAATGAGTTTGGCAGGTATTGAGAGCTCAAGGCCTAGGCACTAGGGACAATTTTAACAATATATCATGAGCAGACTCTGAACTTTCCAGTACATTCTTATGATCTCTGAGGGATACAATATTACATTTTCTCTGTCCTGTAATACAGCTATTTTTCGCTGTTTTGAGACCAACTAAGCGAATCAATATTGTGGGCAAAAAGAAATGTCCGGGAAATTGTGACATGAAGCACAAGACCAGTTGAAATGTACAGTATTTTAAAAATAGTGCTGTCAGTCAATTTAAAACAATCATTTATTTATTTAAACATGGCATTCCAATTAATCAGTCACATCATATTCATTGCATATATATATACATATACATATATATATGCAATTAATAAATTGGAATGATTACGCCATTGGTTAATTACGCAATTGAGAATCACTGATATATATATATATATATATATATATATATATATATATTAGTGATTCTCAACTAGGTGGACACCATGGCGTAATCATTTAAAATAAAATTGTTCAGAATTGAAAAAAAAATTAACTGTTGTACATATGGAGAACAGTTCTTGAACCTTCTGTAATCATAAAATTAAATCACAGTTAATTATTTTATACTATCAATTTTATACTATTGAAGTATCAGAGAACAACTACATGTGGGTGGCCTTGGAGCCTTGGAGCAACTGATAGAACATGCGCTGTAGCACGACTATATATTTCTTCAAGAGCACACAGTTCGAACAGGTAATGGTAAGCTGTTCCACAACTTAGGCCAAGCCGCTGCGAAAGCTTGATCACCCCTGCATTGTCAGTGAGATCGTGGGACAGAAAAGAGATATAGATCTTTTGATCGAAGTGATCTAGATGGGTTGTTAGTGACAATTAGGTCAGAGAGATTTGGGGGCTTGATTGCAATGAGCTTTGTAAATGATAACTAAAATTTTACAATAAATTCGGTATCGGACTGGCAACCAGTGTAGAGCACGTAGAATTGGAGTAATACTATCTCGCAGCTGCGTTTTGGACCATTTGGAGACGAGAAATTGAGGAGAGAGGTAGCCCAACATATAATGAGTTACAGTAGTCGAGTCGTGTGGAAATAAAAGCGTGAATAACTTTTTCAAAGCTTTCTCTACTTAAAAATTATTTGACTTTGGCTAACCGGCGTAGATGATAAAAGCTGGTGCTAACTATGCTATTGATTTGTTTGTCTAGTTTAAGACTACTGTCGAGATAAAATCCTAAATTTTTAACGTTGGAGGTAAAATATGGTGAGAGGGTAAATAATACTTAATCCTGTCAGGCAAGTAGCATGATCACCACTGGGTGGATGAAATTTGAAAAAGCAAACACTGTCACACGAATCAATGCAATGCTCAAGGTATCTTCATGATGGAGCACTATGAATACATTTCTCCGTGTTTCGCCTTGAACTCCATTACTCTCCCATAGTGCTGACAGCTAATTTACTTTCATTATCATTATTTCTTTGTAATATCTAGTCTTTTTTGTCATCTATTCAGGTAACTTGGATACAGGAAAGCACAGAGTAGACAAAATGAATTCGGTTAAATATGATAAAGGGGAAGGTCTTTTGAGGTTTGTCATAATACAGGAGAGCAACAACAAGAAAAAAGAACAGGGAATGGGGATTTAAAAAGCTCTGCCATTTTAATCAATAAAAATGCCTGCAGTAGCTTCAAGCTGGATTGACACTGACAAGGTCTTCACAGGACACCCAGTTCATTAACTCTTCATCACGTTCTTAAAGAGATAGTTCCCTCCAAAATGAAAACTGTCATTATTTACTCAACCTAATTTAGTTCCAAACCCGTATTACTTTCTCCTGTGGAATGCAAAAGGAGAATTTCTGGCTATTCTCAACTGCTCATTTCTATATAATGAAAATGAATGGAGACCAGGGCTGTAACATTTCAAAAAGGATGCAAAAGTACCTTTTGAAGTCACATGATACAGTAGCCTTGTGTGAAGAACAGACTGATTGAAATTCACTTCAATCAATAAAGCAGCGTCAGAACAAAATTACCCCCTTAAACTGCAGGAATAAACAAATCACGAATAAAAACACTAATAAAAACATATCTCTCCACTTCTTCTCAGTAATAGAATATTCTATATTTCATTCTCTTTACAACTCACTGTAGTCAAATCAGTTCTGCTATCGCCACAGTCATACACTCACGTCTTTACATACATTCCTCTTATGGATGAATATATGGATGAATACAAATGCAGATCCGTGCAGAAGTTACTTTCAAGCTAATTTCAATACATTACACTCTCCGCAACAGAGCTGACAAACAAGTCGATATTAAATGATGTGTTTACTGCTCTATGCTACACTGCATAAAGTACTTTAATAATCAGAAAACACGTTGATTTGTGACATTCATCTTAATGTAGTATTATATTTGTGTGTGCATCTTTTGCCTTATGTCTAAGCATAACATATTAATCAGAATTGCTACTGAGACAGATGAGGGTGAGCTCAGCAGTGTAATTTCTCATCATAACACAACACACACATAAATATTAATAGCAGGGTTTTTGGCTGGTGGGCATGAATCATTTCTGTAGACAGAGAGGAGCCACTCATGCATGCCCAAAAACAGCATTTAAGAAAGTGCTGAGATAAACAGCAGCGCTGCAAGGCCTGGCAACGGGAAAAGCCATATAATGCTTCCGAGACCTCAGACAATCAGACAAATCAGACATTTGTTGAGTGTACTTACGGCAACTAAGGGCAGCTGCCAGTTCATATTCATTAATAGAGGTCGTAGTCATGCTGCCCATCAGCCTGAGCAAACTGACTGGCTTTGACAAAGATATAATTCTTGTGTTAATAAGGAACCAGGACAGTTTCATAAAGTGTGTTCATATTAATAGGATAGTTCACCAAAAAAAAAAAAAAACTTCCTGTCATCATTTACAGAATGATGTCATGTCGTTCCAAACCTGTTTGACTTACTTTCTTCTGTGGAACATAAAATAAATCGTTATTCTGAAAACTGTTTTTGTCCATACAATGAATTTTTCGTTTTTAAAAAATATCTTCTTTTGAGAAGCAATTAAGAGGCGATAAGCACTGGATCGGTGTTCCTAGATCCAGCATCATCTTTTGGACACTTAAAAAGTGTGAATGGCACTGCATTATACAATATAATAAAAATAGCAAAACAAATGACAATTATTTTAAGCAAAACGTTTCACAAAAGGTTTCTTAAGAGCTTCAATGACAGGTATGATGTTAAAAACACACATTTAAAACAAGTCGTCACATTTTTTATTATTAATTATTAAAGTATTAATAATGCACACTAGTTACTTTCAAACATTGGTGTAACATGTTCATAGTTAATGTGATGAACTGCAAATGTAGTTATTCTGCTAGTACACCAGTGTGAACTTGAGGGGAACTAACTTCATACATCCACTAAAAATTACCTGTTGACTACAAATCATTTAAAAAAGAAAGTCTCAGAAAAGTAATTTAGTTTTAAATGTAGCTTTCAGATTCCACCTGATATTTTATCTCATGCAATGAAATCCAGTCAATTTTAAATGGGACATGGTATTGCTGCAGATCGGATAGTGGCACTTTGTTTTTAATTTGGTATGTTGGGTTGTATGTGTCCGAACAGGTATATGATCATCAGTATAAAGCCATACTGGATGGACTGGAGACTGAGAGCATGATGGAAATCTATCCAGCACAACGCATCGAGATCTGCAGGATGGGAAAGGGCACTAATGAGGTCCTAGAGGTGCATGACTTCAAAAATGTAAGGGTTTATGACATACATGTGAAATATTTTCATTGTGATGTGAGAGATTCAGCTCATATTCCTGCAATCCGAGTCTCAGCCTAGGAACTGATGTCAAAATACAGACAGAGCGTTTTTCTTTTTCTTTCAGACTGATGATATTGAATCTCTTTGAAAAGCACTGTGCTAAGCAAAAGCAAACTGGCAGCGATGACATCTCGCATCAGCATTCAGACACACTTGTTGCTGGCCCCATCTTCTTTCTAAATTACTATGGTCAGTGGAGCAAAGCCACAAAATAGATTAGTTTCATTCAAGGCATTGCCATGGGAAACCAGAAAACAAGTGAATAGGTAAAATCATTCAAATCAGATGTTGATATAAATGAAAAGGGAGTTCGAGCACCGAGCCCTCTTCGGCACTTCTTGCAACTTCTGGCTCAGGGCAGACTTTGGAATTGATTTTTGTGAAGGAGGGATGTTGCAAGTCATTACACACACTAAAACTACAAACCATCTCCACAGAGCCTGAAGGCTACAGCCCATGAATGGAAATGCAGTGGTAATGCCAACAGAAACACAAGCAAAATCCTTTCTCTACTGTTTTAGACAAGTACTCTGAGTGTCCTCCAGAAACTTCAAAATTAATAATGAGAATTCCACAGCAGCTTATAGGGAAAGCCAAGGAGACACATCGCATAGACTGTTATGAACAAAAAAAAAACAAACATAAAATGTCCTTCAAGATACTATTTAAACTGAACTGAGCTGGATGATGACATCACTGAATTCAATGATGAACTGCCTTTAACTGAAAAATTTGTGTTTACTATTGTCATTTTGCATTATTGACACACTATTTTCCTAATTAATGCTGTTCAGTTGCTTTGACACAATCTGTATTGTTAAAAGCGTTATATAAATAAAGGTGACTTGACTTGACTTGACTTCAACATGAGGAAAATAAATATTCCAGTAATATTTTTTTTACTGCAATACAAGGTAGAGTACCAGTTTTTCCATTGCATTTATTTATTTATTGTCCAGGAATCACTGCATATACTGCATGTATCATAGCATATCACTCAAAAGTTTGGGGTCTTTAAGATTTTTTTTATCAGTTATTATTAATATTATTTTTAAATTAATACTTTTATTCTACAATGTTGCATTAAATTCATCAAAAGTCACAGTGAATACCTGCATTGTCACAAAACATTCTATTTCAATAAATGCTGTTTATTATGCAAAATTCACTTTTGGTGTTGGTGAATTCATGGTGTTTGGACATAAATGTGTGTTAGCAGTGTGTGTACACAACTCCCCTTTAATGATAAAAATCCACCCACTCCTTTTTTTTAATCCCTATAAATCATAAGCAGTGTCTCAAAACAAGCTGTTCGCAGAATCTATACAAAGTGACGTCACATTTTACAGGCCCTGCCCACAACGGTTGACGAGCACATAAACACACAATCTGCCATGTTTATCTTCACGCTAGAGCATTTAAAAGCAGCATTTAAGAAATGTTTTCTTATTAAAGCTACAGAAGTTATTCAGTCAAGAGTAGCGAGTGATTTTTATTTTATTGTTTGGCTCATATTAACAGCATATGTAGCAGTAGGTACTGTATATCACGCTGCTGTCACTTAATATACAGATCTAATATAAACAGAAATTTTATGTTTATACTATGTTTATGTAAATCATGTGTGTTTTTGACATAACCGTGTGTATTTGACTGTGTAAGTGCAATAAGACATGAAAGACAACTTAGTTTAGCACTCATGTCGTGTGACAGATGCTTTCTGTGCACATGCTTCGGATGTGTGTGCTCAGAAAACCCTATATCAGAAGTTTAAACTGATATGATATAGACATGATAATCAAAACCAAGCAAATGTTTTGTTTTGGCAGAGTATCCAAGGTACAAGCTGTAAAGGCACAGCCCTATTCTGGAAAAGTGGGCGGGGAACAGCAGCTCATTTGCATTTAAAGATATATGCACCAAAACAGCATGTTTTTGCTTCCACTCAAAATGGGCATTTTCAAAATGGTATAATAAATTATCTGTGGGGTATTTTGAGCTGAAATTTCACAGACACATTCTGTGGACACCTGAGACTTACATCTTGTAAAAAGGGTCATGATAGGAGCCCTTTAAAAAATTGTAAATTATCAAGGTTTCCACAAAAATATTAAGCAGCACGACTATTATTAACTTTGATAATAAGAAATGTTTCTTGAGCACCAAAATATTCTTTCAACAGCAATTAAATATCTTGCAGACCCATAAACGTTTGAATGGTTGCTTGTGCATATGCGACTCTGTATCTCACAATTGCACAATTTTGTTTCTTATAACTTTGACTTTGTCAGTGTGACTTAGATTATTTTTTTAAATGTAGCAAAGTGCAAAAGAGCTAGAAACAAAAGGGTTTCCTAATATACAAATGGCACATTTTTCTCCAGTCGTTGTAGTCTTGTAAAAACCAGTTACTAAGAGTTACTTGCTAAGAGCAAGGTGTTAAATGATTTTGCCAATAATCACTGTCTCTGTCCATCAGTGTAGAGAACAACAATGATTAGTTTGTCCTACAGTAAGACAAGATGAGCTATCTTACCGCCCATTTGATAATACAAGGTCGGTAAAGATGCAGGGAAAATTTCTTAACAAAGTCAAAGTCCCTTTCTAACACCCTAATACAGAAACAGTATACTGCCAGGGTCAGTTTCCCAGACACAGATTAAGTCTGATCTTAGATCTAGTAATGTTGTTAAGAGCGATTCCTCAGTGCTAATTCGGTTTAGCGCCAGCCCTTGACTTCACCTGCATCCAGGAAGCAGTATTTGTTGTCTCTCAAACCAATAACTGGTGGAAACAGGTGTGGGCATCTACATACAAGTAATGTGCCAATTATTGGAGCAGAGCTCCTTTGCCCTCTCTGCCAATTGCATCATTCAGTGCTTCCATTCGAATAATTGTCTCAGACCATGCACACATTTAATCTGGCTAATGGCAAAGCTGTACTTCAACACTCTTTCTTAAATGACATTATTTTCCAATTTTTTATCCCTGTAATGCAGAGTCTCTCCATTTTCCAGTTGACCAGGCTCAGCAATAAATGCATTTCATCAGAAGATAGTTCCTTCTTGCGTGCAAAAGCAAACCATTACCAGAAATTGAAGAGCAATTTGTCAATGATTTTCAGCACAAACAATGCACTTTTCACTCCTCTCATAACAGTTTCTTTACTAACCGGTGAGCTTAGGTGAAAATGACAAATTTGTTAGTATGCAGTCTAACAGTGTTTATAAGAGCACAGAACACATGAATTTAGGATGCTTCCTTTAATACTGCAGAAATAATTCAGCTCCGACAGTATACTACTCACTCTCACTTTCCTTATTCTACAACAGCAAAACGAGAGCAGCTGTGGATTACTTAATGTATTCCCGAATGCAGGGAGATATTGTTTTTATCCTTCCGCGTGAAGAGTCTGTAACGCGATAGCCTTTATTCCCCTTCGAATACTGCTTTCAGACAGTAAAGAACTTTCTTCAGATGCTCCTGCTAAAATGGGTTTTTCTCTTTTCAAGTGTAAAGCAACAAATTCTGTATGGCAGACCATCAGCTGTGGCTTTCAGGAAAAAAGCTCCTCACTTCACCAAACAGATTAGCTTCGCAACACAGACCATAAGTGCTGCAAATCAATGGGCTTTGCCTACATATAATCATGGCTTCGGCGGTATACCTCTCTACTGGCTGGGGCTGTAGACCAATAATCTTGAATTGGCTAGGAAATGATTCCCGTTGCTTTAGTTATATAACATTCGCTATATCTGTGCTGCACTGAAAAGGCTTCGGGGTGTTTTTGTGAGAGTATTTGAGGTCAAATGCTGATTTTTTTTTTCTCAAATCATGGAATAAACAGTCAATCTCATTAACATCTATGTCTTTCAAGGGCATCACAGGCATTCGTTTTGCCAAGCACCAGAGATGCTACATCAGGGCTCAAACCAAGGAGCTGCCCAAGCTGGACTCAAAGACCATTGACATAGAGGTATTTTAATCTCATCAAATACATCTTTCAGCGATCTGCTTCCTTTAAACAGGATGAAAAAAAACAGTTCATCAGACTGTGAAAAATGAAACTTGCTTCAACCATCACCATTTATCTGCAATCCAACTAACCAGCAAACCCACGCCAACTCCCCAACCCACCTCCAACATCTCATCATCCCCTCCAGCATTTTCCACAAAAATATAAACTTGGGTCTCCTGTGGCCGTGAATCCATCCGAAAGTCCACAATCCCATAACCCCTTTGTGGAACACATCAAATGGTGTTTGCCGTCAATCCTGAACTAATATTAATTTTTAATCATGTCCTCTGAAGCCTCAGCCCAAATAGCCTTAAGGAGAGAGAGAGAGGGGTCCTTGGGAAAGGTAAGCCATTAAAATGGTATTTGAAGATGTTTGCTCCGTAAATTTCACTTGACTCAGGGCTGAAGTGATTCATCTCTGTTCTCCTGCTCTAATGGCTGTCTGTGATGCTCGGCAAGAGTGATGGGTGAAATTCTATCAATCAAGCATCCAATTTATGGGTGTCATGGAGAATGGCAGGCGGTTTCGAAAGCGCTAAACTCTCTTTCCGTGGCAGTTCATATCGAAATGGGGGAGTGCAAGCAAAGTGTCGTGCCTCTCCGATTTGTATTAAAAACACAGTGATCTATTGTTGTCTCAAGTTCCCAGACATCCTCTTTGACTTTTGGAACAGAAGGTATTATAGGCAGAAACAGCCTGCATGTTCTCTCCCTCATCGTTTTAATGTCTAATCCATGTTTACAGATACTAATTGCGAAGCAAACGCCATATGTCGCTGCCATTTCTCCCTTTTTTTGCTAAATTGTGAAACCTAATTAGATTTTTCGGCTAAGCTTTGTTTCACAGATGTGAAATCAATCAGAGTTGGCCAGGGCTGAAGCAGTGGGGCTAGAAAGAGAGGGTAGACGGAAAGAGAGAGCGATGCGCCTGGTTCTCGAGGGGGGACGGGGACACATGGTGCAAGATGGAGCAAGCTGTTCCTACCGTAAAGACGCAGCTAACCAGGAGAACATTCACACAAATGATCTCTCATTTATTGGATAAACAGACTAAAGAGTGTAAAATGCTAAAAATGCAAGCTGTGAGCTTCACATGAAGGTGACAGGATTATTTAGGCTTGCTAACTGCCAATTTACAATCTTGCATTTCTCTAAATCTTTGATTATATACATACCAGCATGGAGGCCTGAGATAAATCAGGATGCTATTGAAACCAAAGACTGCTTGCGTGTGGACGATAGAGAGAGAGCAAGAGAGAGAGAAGCTGGCCATTCTTTCCAAGGTTGTGAGCATGTCAAGGAAGTAGAGGTTAAAATCCACATTATTAGCTCCAAGTGCAGCTGAGCCGCAGGGCATGTGACCGTGGTCCCAGAGCAAGCTGCCTTAACACGCTTCACCACAAAACAATGCTGGGTGAGAAGAAACTGCATGCCACTGATAAGGAAATAAAGCAGCCTGCGAGCACAACCAGGTGACAAGCATAAATTGCTGCCAGTTTGTTTACCATTTTCAATTTATTCAGTCTGGGAAATGATGAAAGCGGTAATCCCTGAACTTCCCACTGGTCTGCAACTGCCCAAATGTCTCCGATGAAATCGCGGCCTGTCTTCCCGCACAGCCCTTGTGTCTGAGGATAAATTTGGTAACTACCTCTGTGCACCCTCTCTTTTCAACTTTTGCCATTGCTATTTATACTAAAGAGGTTTACATGTAGTCAGGAATTAATTGCATTAGTGTAAAATATTCTTATTTATTATACAATTATTTTGCCTAGTCCAAGGGGTTTCAAACTAAGATGCAGGATGCAAGGGAGTTAGTGGAAAAGATGTGCTTTAAAAATATGTATACTTTCACATTTTTACAGTATCATTCTTCTTTTTAAATCAAAAGACTGATCTGTGAATATTTTATTTCCACAGCCCTAGTTTTTAACATTAAGAAAAAACTGTTTTAGAAGTGTTAATCTCTCCTTAAAATGTAAAAAATTTCAAGAGAAGACAACACAGCTGTTGTATATTTTAGAAAGAGCCATCATCGCAAGTGAATCATCATATTTGGCATTAAAATTCTTGGATCCATTAAGGCATTAAAAAAAAAAACAGACTAGCCCAAAGAAAGATATCTGTTAGCATTCCTATTCATCTCTAAGGCATCCCTTTGGAAGAACGTGCTTTGAATTCTGCATTTTACTCTTAGGTATTCAGTTCTGGACACAACTGTTTTGAGCCAGTCACCTGAGGCATACACTGCTGTTTAGTAAACTTTTTTTTTTTGCAAGAAATTAATACTTTTATTCGGAAAGGATAAATTAAATCAGTTAAAAATTAAAGTCATTTATAATGTAACAAAATATTTATGTCAAATAATGACTGTTTTCAACATTGATCATAAGAAATGTTTCTTGAGCATCAAATCAGCATATTAGAATGATTTCTGAAGTATCATGTGTCACTAAATATTGGAGTAATGGGTGCTGAAAATTCAGCTTTGCATCACAGAAATAAAATATATTTTAAAATATATCCAATAGAAAACTTATTTAAAATTGTAATAACATTTCACAATATTACTGTTTTTACTGTATTTTTGTTCAAATAAATGCATCCTTGGTGAGCATAAGAGACTTCTTAAAAAAGCTTTTAAAAATCTTACTGACCCCAAACTTTTGGTACTGTAGATACCATGCGATTACTTAGATACCATGATTACTTTGAAACTACAGAAGAAAAAAATTATGTCCTGACTACACTCTATAAAAACGAATATAATATAATTCAATTCAATATTTAATATATAGTTAATTTATATATATATATATATGTGCTTGGTTAAAGTATGGCCATCAATGAGCATTGACCAGCAGGGGTCATACTAACTGGGCCATGCTAACCAGCCAAACCATGACTCCTTGGTCAAGACATAACTCAGCTTTGCTCTTTTCCCTTCAGTGTCTCTTCCACAACATTTAGATGTCTCAAGAGAACCCACCCAAACTTATCTGGCTAATTTCTCAAAAAATGTGATGAAATGTTGTAGGATCAGTGCCCTAACCTTTGTGTACTCGTATGAAAGTCACACTTTGCTTGAGCTGTCAAGATGGCCAATTAAAGTAGTCTACTTGCACCGCTGGCCCTCGTTTTTAATTTTAGGCTAAAACAGCATCCTTCACCGCTTGAGTCATGCAGGCTGTCCTCCTAGTCATCATTAGTTTAGCGTGATTTGAGGAGGCAAAGAGTGAAGCTTTTAATCAGGCGGAACTGGAACCGCTACAGGTCAGTGCTGTGTCACTTCCCAACAAACAAGAAAAGGCACCGAAATAAAACAAGAGCAGTGGGATGAAAAAAAGAGGGCTGAGAGGGAGAGCAAATGGAAGCGAAAGAGGGGAATCTAATATAAATGATAGTAGCTCAGAAAATAGCCTCAGGATTCTACATCAAGCTCAACTAATGTGCAATTAAGCTTTAGACTGAGAGAAAATCACCTTGTAAAAATATTTGTCATGTGAGCCGTTTCTCTGGTCTCTGCACTAATTAACAAGGGACTATAGCAGAGTTTGTTTGTACTTCTATTTACACATAACTACAAGCACAACAAACATATACCTCATATGTGATTACATTACCCAAAGATGCTTTCTAGATCTCAATTAGATGAAACTGACATACAATCGCTATCATTAAGCAATAATAATTTACTTAACAGCTCATGAACTGCAGAACTAACAAATTAAGTACACTATTATCAGTTGTATAATTAGTTGTATAATGGGTGATGAGGTGGATGCACCAGTCTACTTTAATATGCCAAGAGGATTGAATAACACGTCAGTCCTTCCTTAGTCCAACACAGCAGATAGACTTTAAAGTCATCTTAAAGTCAGATATATTTTTGTACTCCTATTGCTGTACAAATTAAAATGCAACACCACCAGTGCCTGCAGAAAAGGGCATTTTTTCTCAGCTAGGGAAGAAATAAGTGTGTTTCACAAGAAGGTACAGCTATGGTCTTTAAGATAGGTCAAATTAAATATTTTAGCCATGGTCAGCAGTTAGTTCTCTGCTCCCTGCAGAGTAAGAGTGAAATGATCCAAGGCAACAACATTAAGCAGAGACTCCAGCTTTATCTTGTTTGGACTGTGGAAAGGAGACCTAGGATGCCTGCATGTGCAATAAACTGACAAACAGAAATGTGTTTAAAGGGTACGGAAAGAATTGGGTCAGTTTCAATCAAACCAAATGAGCTTCTGAAAGCAGAGCTGAAGTATTGATACTTTCCCCTTGATCCCCACATACAAATATTGATCCTAAGTGTTTTGTTAAACTAGTAGTTTTATATTTTATTTCACGAAAAAAAATCAATGCATAAAATAGGCTTTGAAGTGAAAATATGAACGGTGTTAGCAAGTTGTGTAAGATATGATTTATTTCTCATCTTACCATACACAGAACTGTTGAAAGACACAAGGAGCTAGTCGCAAACTGCTCAAACTGCTGACACTTCACTCATGTCCATTTAAATAGAGACTGCAGTGCTAACCAGAGACTGTGACAAAGACACATCATTCACATTAAAGCGTAAATGTCATTTATAATGGGTTTGTGTGATGATTGTTTAATGATTCAGATTAAACGTTGAAACTGATTGTATAATTGTAGTTAAAAAGCAGAAGCCTGATCATTTGCAGTTAAGCAATTTGTTGAACGGCTATAACAACTTATTTTTATCCTCAGGTATCATTAAAAGCAATAAAATCATGCATGATCACTTTCAAATTTAGCTTCAGTGGCCATCTGACCTCTGGTGCAATGCATTGTATGGAAATTGTGAGAAGATTTAGCACATATTTAAATCTTGGGGAATCAATATCGATACCATCCAAGTATTGAAAAAATTATGGAACTCATTTCTCTGTTTTAATATACTAAAATGTAATGTTTATTATTATATAATGATATATAATATACTATTTTAAATAGCTGTGATTGACTGTTATTAGAAATATTGGCAATTAGCCATTAAATTGGTGTAAGCATTAAAATGTATATTCTTTTCACAGGTGAGTGAGACTGGTGAAGTTGATATGCAGATGATGGACTCTCAAATATGGATCCCTGCTGAAGACCCAATCTCCAACAAAACATTCCTGTTGAATTCCAAGATCTGGGAGATTTGCCAAGATCTGCCCATCCACTGGATCCACCCATCTCCTCTCAGAGGTTACAAACAGGGCTTCACCGACTCGAAATCCAATTAAACCCTAGTAATAAGGTTTCAGAATAGCCTAAGAGTCAAGTCTGTAATTTCTTTTGCTCTCCACTGTTTGCTCGTACTTCCCTTCAATAGGAAGGCAAAAAAAAAATCATAAAAACACTGAATTGCATGGTTTATGCTCTAGCAATGTTCTAAGCAATCACTGATTAACTAATCAAGGACACAATACACCATGTTTAAAGAACATTTTTGCCACAAACCAACTTTTTCCAAATGAGGGCATTATAGTACTGGAGGGTTTTATGTTCTTCAAGGATTAGTTCACTTCCAGAATAAATATTTCCTGGTAATTTACTCACCCCCATGTCATCCAAGATCTTCATGTCTTTCTTTCTTCAATCGCAAAGAAATAAAGGTTTTTGAGGAAAACATTCCAGTTTCAATGCAGCTTTAAAGGCCACTACATGATTCCAGCTGAGTAATAAGGGTCTTATTATCTAGTAAAACGATCGGTCATTTTCTTAAAAAAAAATAAAAATGTACATACTTTTTAACCACAAATGCTCATCTTGCACTAGCTTGACTTTACGCATTACATAGTCACGTTGGAAAGGTCACGCATGACTTAGGTGGACGTACTGACCCAGTGTTTACAAAGCGAACATGCTAAGAAAGTCAAATGCACTTTACAAAAACATGTAAAACAACGATGTCAGAAGATTTTGAAGTTTGAGGAGAAAATGAGATGGAGATTTTCGCTCTACCCTTCAAAAAGGTATTTTTGAACCAGAGTACAAAGACAGAGATGACCGTGCGTAACCTTTCCAACGTGATTACGTAATGTGTGAATTTGCGGACGCGCATCAGGGAGCTAGTGCAAGATGTGCATTTGTGGTTAAAAAGTATTTACATTTTTCTTTTTTAGAAAATGACCAATCGATTCGCTGGATAAGACCCTTATTACTCAGCTGGGATCGTGTAGAGCCCTTTGAAGCTGCATTGAAACTGGACCTTCAACCCCTTGGCCACCATTTAAGTCCATTATATGGAGAAAAATCCTGGAATGTTTTCCTCAAAAACCTTAATTTGCGACTGAAGACAGAAAGACATGAACATCTTGGATGACATTATCAGGAATTTTTTATTCTGGAAGTGAACTAATACTTTAAGGAAGATCAAAGAGGCCTTTCATGATATCAATTTTTTAGTAGCAAGTTTTTAGCGTTACTGTCTTTCCTTCTGTGATACAGATGCTGAATTCCACGACGTAGAAGATGTGGAGGAGACCCCAGAGCTGGAGGCGAGAGGTCCACGTCAGACCCGGGATGTCATGGACCAGTTACCAGTAAACGACTATGTAAGTGTGAGCCTGAGGTACTGCTAAAAAACCTGAGGTATTACTAAAAGACGTGTTCAAACTGCGGTTGAGCCAGATAGTCATGCTCTCTTTCTTGGTATAAATCGTTCATTAATCGAAGTTCCCTTTCCGAACTTAAAACAGACCATGTGGACCACAGGGTATTGAAATTGCTCTATATATCTGCTTAAATCAGGCCAGTTCACTTAAGACTCCCTTAATGTCTTACAGCTAATGGAGAGGGATATTTAGCCTTCAAAGGAAGCAAGTTTGCCTTGCACAATTTTTCCTTGCCTCTCTTATGTAGTTAGTGATGTACAAAGACAGTCTCCCAAGGTCACTCATTAATGAATAGTTAAATGTATTAATCATGCTTTAATTATCAAAGCATGGAGAATCAAGCAGCCAAAGAGTGTCCTTTATTGCGTTCATGAAGTGAAGCATATGTTCAATGATGAATTGATGCACTAATGCTTCGCACACCTACGATATACACCTCCCCAACTAGCATGTGACTTCTAGCCTCCAAGCACAAGGATGAGAAGACTGAGAAAAGAAAGAACTATGAGGTGGTGGGAAAAAAGGCACATTTATCTGCAGAGACCCAGGAACGTCTTGCCTGCGCACCTCATCCAGCAACACGGACTGCAACGTACTGTATAATTAAAGCGGACCCAGATGAAACCACCTTTCCCTTTTGAAATCCTCTCCTTCTATCAGCTGGTTAATACACACCAATCCAGCCAATTCCAAGGCTAAGCACAGGCGGGCTGTGTTTGTGGGCAGAGCGATAACAACGGCTTTAGTGAACGTCAGAGGGGATGTGGCTCCCGGTAATTGGAGTCTGGAGTCATGTAGATGCTGCTGGGAAGCCAGATATCCCAGACCTTTCAGAGGATCCTAGACGCAAGCCCTTCTTTAGCTCTCCCACCGGCAGAAGTCTGCAGCTGGAGAAGGGAATTCATATTTTGCTACAGGTCTCTTCCTGTTGTGCACTTTTTATAAATAATCATCAAAGTTCCTGTGACAGAAGGCCTGAGATATACGAGGCTGACCTTTCCCCAGTCCTGCCACGCTGATGCGTTGCGTGCCAGCACAGCTCTGGATATCTTTCAAACTGAATAACTATCATCTGGCTGTGCTGAGAAATTGCATCATGGTCCTTGACCTAGATTGGAAGGACACGACTCTGATGATTCGGTCCAGTCGAATCTCAGACTTGTGTGCCTGCCACAGTTGTTGAAGGTAGGAATCGTGACCCCACGTCCTAGCTGAAAGCATTCTGGCTTGCAGATCGCTGATTGAACCTGCCTCCACGAGTCTGTCTGAACTTAAGTTGCACTGTCCAGTCAAGGACCCAATGAAGATGAAAGATAAAGTCACTTTAAACTTAGGATACTAAAATGAAACAAATGCTTCGTTTCAAGTGTCTTTTTAAATCTGTAATTTAAAACAAACACTTTAAAATTAACATTATAACATGTACAGTACAGTTTATCATCTGGCTGTGCTGAGAAATTGCATCATGGTCCTTGACCTAGATTGGAAGGACACGACTCTGATGATTCGGTCCAGTCGAATCTCAGACTTGTGTGCCTGCCACAGTTGTTGATGGTAGGAATCGTGACCCCACGTCCTAGCTGAAAGCATTCTGGCTTGCAGATCGCTCATTGAACCTGCCTCCACGATTCTGTCTGAACTTAAGTTGCACTGTCCAGTCAAGGACCCAATGAAGATGAATTCACTTTAAACTTAGGATACTAAAATGAAACAAATGCTTCGTTTCAAGTGTCTTTTTGCAGCAGGATAATCAGTTTGATTAATATACCTCTGCGGAACAATACCATTCATAGTCTGTTTGTTTTATCGTAATCACGCATCATTTCACTCGAAAAAAAAAACGTATTTTTCCAAATAACATCCACCTTTCATGCTGGCAGGGGGCTTTTCTGTGAAAGTCTGATAAAGCAAACAGTGCTACACTGACAGGCTTTGTGCTGTTTCCAAAATAAATTGTTGTCTCAACACTCTTGACCCTAAACCTGACAAACATTATGAATCAGTAATTGTCTTTGTGCATTTGTGAGAGTAATAAATCAAAGACTACAAGCATCACCCTGCTTTCTCTTGCACTAGTCTAATCATTAGGAGAATGCAATTTTCACTCCATTCATCATTGCATAGTGAGCTCATGAAAACTCATACATGCCTCGTTTATGGAGAACATAATGAGAGATGGGACTCCAGAGGAGAAATGCATGTCATTATGCATCTTCACACGCACATGCACAGACACATTATAATTCACTGCGCTTCATCTCAAACCCAAAAAGATCAATAATGATAATAATATACCTGTTTATGCTATACAAACACCACAAATGACCGTTCTTAAATGTCATTTTCATCCTGGCAACACATTTCAAAGCGATTTTCTCCCTTCACGTTCATTTGCGTCATTTCCCAACAGGAAGTCTGAAACGTTGCCAGACAACTTGGAGAGATACGGCTTCATCTGCCAATCTAATGCAGATCAGCAGAGGTGACTAGTTCCATGACAGTGTTTTTAATCAGACAGATAATGTCATATTGTCTGCGTCGTGAGCTTGGGGAGACCGAAATGCAGTCAAATGAAACAGTGCGAGTCGAGGGTGCTATGTGCTCCAACAGTTACGGGAGATAGAAAGTTAAGTGGCACTTCTCGGAACCCATCTCATTGTAGCGACTGATCAAAGGCATGGCACTCAGCCCTGGGTAATCTGGAGAGGGCACACATACACAATCACAATGGAGAGGGCCAAGAGCCATTCATTCTACCCAATTTACCTTTCACTCCACTTTCATTTAGCCCTTACACCAATTCACACCCTGCCTGCGAGAACAAATAAACCGATCCTTGTTGGGCGATCATTACACTGCTAATTGCTGTATGAACGTGCCATTCGCTTTATGCCAAAGTCAAAGGAGGGCATGAAAGTGCATGGGGGAGGGTTCTCATTTCTGAGCTGAAATGAGGCCGGGGTCGCTGCTCGGACTGAGGCTCCAATGATACGCTTTTAAGGGAGTGGGAGGGCTGGGATGAAAGAAATAGTGTAATTATCGCAGTGGCTGCCAGTGTCAAACTCGTTGTGACTGAGAAAGAACAGGCAACGGGGTTAAGGGACTTGAATCAGAGATGCTAAAGCCAAGCGATGCCACCAGCGGCGTAATGGAAAGGTCAAGGGCATTATATCATATCTGATACCCTGGCTTGACATATCAAAACCATCTACGTTAAATGCCACTCTGATCCTTGTGACATATCTGAGCATGACAGGGATTTTTGTCATTGCTTGTCTACAACCCATAATCACTCTTCAGTCCCCCTTCAGAACACTGCACCTTTTTATTGCTAACATCAAGCCATCAGACATGCGCCCTGTGCTGAGATTGCAGGTATTGTTTGGCTGCAGTTCTGACCCTGTTGACTCACTCTCTTTGCAGAGAGAAATCGGGCTGGAGCTGGACAACAGCCTAGATGAGCAGGGCTACTGCTGCCAGCACTGTCGGCGAGGGTACCGTTACTGTCGGCGATACTACGAGCCCCTGGGCGGCTTTTGGCCGTATCCCTACTATTACCAGGGAGGACGGGTCATCTGTCAGATTGTCATGCCCTGCAACTGGTGGATAGCAAGAATGCTGGGACGAATTTGAAGGTATACCGGAGGGAACCAATGGTGCTATGCTGCTCAGGGGTGCGCGTAGACCAGCTTCATTTGTACGAAATGTCACATATACGCTCAAAACTTTTGAAAAAAAAATCGCTTAAAATAAGGCAAAACATTAGCTCATCCTCGGTGACCATGTCACTGTCAACATTATTGTTTTATATTATATATGGGTAGTTAATGGATAACAATCAACATCAAGATTATAGGTTAAACTGTATATAAAAACAGGGAAATTGTATATTTTAGGTGCTATTTTTTCCACAATTTCACCTTTGTGCCTTTGTTAGTTTAATCTGTGGTACTACAAATTAATTTTTATTAATACAAAAATTTTCCATCTCAGACTATTTTCAACAGCATTTTGCATGCCATTTTTATGACCATATTAATTTGAAACCACATTAGTCTCTCAATTAATATGGTTGTAAAAACTGTTATTATACAATTAATTGTTTAAAACAGAAAGTATTTCATGTCAACTACATGTCAATATACATACATACATATACATATATATATATATACATGGTTATACTGGAAGTAGAACAGAAACAGGTGCTTTGGAAATGGTCAGTTACTGTAGTTACATATTCCATGCAGACCTTTCAAAACAATAGTGTAGGTGACCATTTCTATGGACCCTTTATTTGTCTTGTTTATAGTGGATGAGAGGCATTATAAGAAACCAGGTTAACATAAATAAATGTACAGTAATTTGCATGTTTATATTATGAAATATTGTTTTTAATATATTTACGCTTAAGCAAGTCCCTGTAGAACTTTGAAAATTAGCCTTTATAAAAGCTGTTATGTAAATGTAATGCAGTGTCGAACTGCACTGTACACAACATATCACATGGCTATATTTAAGTAGTGACATTGCTAGCACCATAATTGCAGGTCTGGGACTGTTTCAATCAATTCTTTCATCCAAGCAAATGCGTGCTCTATAAATTGCATTTACGTAATCTAACGCTCCTTTGTGTTTTTCCAGCAACTTCCTTCTGAATAAAACTGGTAAAAGTTTCATTGTCTGCTACTAATTTACTGCTGCATATAAACATGTGCTAAAGAGTGAATTAAATGTATGCCTTCAGATTTTTTTGTTTGTTTTCTTTGGAAGACAAACTCAATGACCTTGACATTATTAGCGTTATGCTCTTCCAGTTCAGCTCCAATAAGGCCAGACACATGACTGCACTATATGATCTAATAAGACAGACAGACACAGTATATAATTTTAAATGATCATATGGAAAACCTTGAAAGACATTACACTGAAAGCATACAAAATGCATCTATTCTGAGAAACTAACAAAAGAGCAAAACACAGGGCTTTCATCTTGAAAAAAAAAAAGATGCCACATCTGTGACAAACAACCTCACAAAGCATTCCATGGAGGAAGTTAAAACTCACCTTGATGTTTATCTCTTTCGCATCCATGGTCAGTTGTATAAATGTGATTTTCATCAGCTATATCTTTTCTCAAAACACTTCTTTCTTCTGCAATACTAAGATCTACTTCACTAGAAGCCTGAGGTAAATGATCAAAGCACAAACTCAAAATACCCCATAGAAAGCTTATTATAATGGATACTGTTTCTTTTATCACAATACCTTGAAATCATCTAAGACACCAGCGCTTATCTTGATGCGATACAAGAGGAAGTCACCTCCAACATTAACAGAGCCATCGTATAGTGGGGAAAATATCAGTAATTGCACAAATATTTTAATTCATTCAATATTAACAATTTCAGTTACATAAATGCTACAAATGTATTATTATTAATATTCAATTTATTAAGTTATTTAATTTTATAAATTAAATTATTACAATTATTACTGTAATTCTTCATATAACCTTATAGCCAAAAAATACAAGTCTACTTACTCACCCTCATGTTGTTCAAAACCTGTATGACTGGAACAACGTCTGAGCCTCTTTCATCTATACAGTGAAAAAAGGACAAAATGCACTATAAAAACCATCAAATGAGGAAGAAAAATAAACGTAAATAATAATAATAATAATAATAAACTTGTCTTGATAATCACCAAACGTTCTAAGCAACATTATAATTAATTTCATTTTTAGAATAATAGTAGACAAAGAGCAAGAGAAGTATAAATTCATTAATGTCATTGTGAATTCAACCAAGCTGTTTACAATGTTCCTTATGATATTCATTTCTAGACACATACCTGCGCTGGTGTATTTACATGTCAGCTATGACAAATAACATATTTTGTATATTTTATGCATATTAACCTGTTAAGGCTAAGGCAGGAAACCAAATAACTAAAAAAAAAACAGTGATTAATGACTTTAAATTGAATGAACTATAGAATAGCACTAGATCCATACTAAAAAGTGTCTAACGATTTCAGATTTAAAACAACCTATTTTAATTTGAGCTGCTTGTATTTCATTGCCTAGACGCAGAAAGATTTGAGAGTGCAACACTGACTGCATGAGACTGAGGGCGAAAATACAGCAAGTCTAGAGCCGTTCAAGGAGACGCATGTGAATTAATTCCTTTTGTTAGCACATCAAAAGTGCATTGTAATTTACCTCCAAGTTTTAGTTCCCAGCATTTAATTCGCCGGTTCGTGTACGTGGAGTGCTGTGTACTGTGTAAAGTCTGTGTTTTACAGGCAGACGTTCTGCTTTAATGCAATACACGAAAAGAAGAGAGAGCAAATTGCTTGTTAAATGTGTTTCACTGAGGTGTGTCACTACTGCCCTCCAGTGGTGCCGTATGGATATGACTCTATTCTTGTATATTAAGGTGATATAAGCAAGGGGATTTACAATACCTAGACATTCCTCTTCATCTTGCTGGAAGTTTTACGGCTGGTGTAGGACTCCTCCGATGAACACGATATAAAATCTGGCTTCTTTGCTCATGTTGGCTCATAACATATGTATATTAAACGGTAAATGCCGCGTCCACCTGCTCCAGGTACGTCAACAGTGTCGCCATCTTTAAACGGTCAACAGGACACCTGTTTGAATGTGACAACCGAGATGTTTGAACGCGCTGAATTAACAGTTTTTATGTACAGTAAAATAGTTCATCACATAATATGTAAATAATACATTTACTGACTTGATGGTAATTTTCAACATGTTTTCCATGACATAATCATTTTATAGAACATTTTTTGTCGAGTTTGATACGAAAAAATGCTATTTTGTAAAAGAATTGTGCGACAGATAGGATTTATTTACGGCACCACGCTCATTTCAGTAGCCACCGCCAACAGTAATTGTCGCAAAGCGTGCCATATCTATGGTAGGACTCATCAGACAAAAAACAAGTCTGATAAATAAATAATAATAAAAAACTGTCTAATCAAATTTAAATTATGAATACTGTATTGTAATTATTTAATCGTAGTTTTTACTTCATGACATAAGATTTGAATACAGTATATATTAAGGAATTATTTTAGATCACTATATTGTTAATGAAAAATATTGAAGTGTGTGTGTGTGTGTGTGTGTGTGTGTGTGTGTGTGATGACATAAGATTTGAATACAGTATATATTAAGGAATTTTTTTAGATCACTATATTATTAATGAAAAATATTGAAGTGTGTGTGTGTATATTTAAATAATTGTTATTATTTAAATAATAACAACATTCACATCTATACTAGATTGCAAAACATCTACTTAAATATTTAAATATAGCCTAATTATTTCCATATATTTCATTGTTGCTAGGAATATACATACAGTACATACATTTATATAGCCAGATCTTTTTGAATGGCTATCAATTGAGAAAGATCTGCCAGATGATGTAGTTATAGCATCCACCAGCAGGGGCTAATGGGGCCATAATAATCAGCCAACCCTTGACTGTATGGTTATGACCTGGGAAATATAAAATTATAGTTATTGTTTCATTTGTTAGTGGAAGAATTTTGTCAATTCAGGCAGTTGAGGGATGTAGGGTGAGAGGTTTAATAGCTGTAAGAGTATTGCTTTTAGCTTCTATAAATTCCTGCTGTGAGACTGCTGCTGCTTTCAAAATTTGATGTAAGTATAAAGTGATGAAAATTGCAGTGGATGTCATTAGTCTTAGTTCAGTAACAGAACAAAACCATTGTTTAGTATTTGTGTGTGTGTGTGTGTGTGTCTCAGCATCCTGGTGTGTGAGTAATCTTAGCGCAGCCCCTGACTGGAGGCACATTTCTAATGACCGCCATCCCTCAGCCGCCCCACCACTCCTCACTAGAGATGCCGTGATGCAATAAACACTCGCTCTCTTCAAGCATGTCATTGGCCCCCAGCTACTTGTTGTCTTGCTTTAAAAATAGAATGGTATAAAGTGATGAAAATTGCAGTGGATGTCATTAGTCTTAGTGCAGTAACAGAACAAAACCACTGTTTAGTATTTGTGTGTGTGTGTGTGTGTGTGTCTCAGCATCCTGGTGTGTGAGTAATCTTAGCGCAGCCCCTGACTGGAGGCACATTTCTAATGACCGCCATCCCTCAGCCGCCCCACCACTCCTCACTAGAGATGCCGTGATGCAATAAACACTCGCTCTCTTCAAGCATGTCATTGGCCCCCAGCTACTTGTTGTCTTGCTTTAAAAATAGAATGTTCCTTGAGCTGATTTTGTCCAGCTGTGTTGATGTAAAGACCCGGTTTGATGCTAGTGAACCACAGCTGTCTAGAAATTCAGCTTTAATTTGAAAACCCTTTTTTAAACTATACAAGGGTTATTTCGGTTTAGAAGTTTATGATTCATCATAGATCCTATGACATTCAGCAGTGAAACACTGATCACCGCAAGCTGTCCTGTTTAGTCTTTTTTAATGCTGCATGACATGAGTAATACTAGGGAGACAACATGCCATGTCAAACAGCTACATGTGTTTCCCGCACCATGACATGCTATACTTCATCTTCATTTTGAACATGTGTCTAATTATTATATTTCCAGTTATAACTGCATATTAACTGTGAGACTACAAAGAGTATTAGTACTTTAAAAATGTATTTGCCATTTTAAGAGTGAAAAGTGACTGAAATGGTGAAAAACATGAAATGATGACCAGGGCTAGTTGTCACAAGGGCTGTACAGTAACCATGATTTTGAATTTGATTATGCAGTTTCTCTAACAGTGTTGTTGTTGTTTGTTAGTTTAAAATATCTCATTTAAAATGGTCATAATTAATTTTGTGAATTAAAATTCCATCATATTTTACTGCTATGATAAAAACAAAATCACAATGACATACATTAACACAACACAGTATAGCATAGGTAGGTTTTAAATTATTATAAAGTTGTTTGATTTTAAACTTTCAGGACAGGATTATTTTATAAAAGTCAGGTCAGGGCATGATGTCACATTTTATATTTTATTTTATCAAATTTTGTACAACTTTTGTACATTACCTGTTACTGCTTTATGATTTTTAATTGAAAATTAAATTGCCTATAATTGGCTGTTTAATGGCACATTCCCATTGTGACAGCATGGCTCTTGGGGAGGTCAATGAGTTTTTTGGAGCTTTTTTTTTTCTTCTTCTTCTTATGGGGAAAGGTGGAAATATCCAGTAGCTTTTTTGTAACAAAGACTTTATTGTATGTTCCTTTACAGAAATTGACTTTCAAAAATAAATCCAACTTAAGACATTTTTTGCTGTACTGGTCTCCCTCTATCCTCTATTTAAACTTAAACACACAGACTTGACATTGGAAACGAAAAAGTTCATATCTATGTATTTGTTATATCTTCTCCAGTTCACGTAACATTTCGAGTGGTGTGATAAAATATCTTCCCATTTTCACAGGACAGGTTAACACTGTGCAAATTGTTTTAACAACCACTTTCAGTTGCCATTTTGCTTTGCCCATACTTGTGGCTACAGTTGCCTTTAACAGCTCTGGTATTGTGTTTTTCTGGATGTTATTGGTTTATTTTTCAGTGTTGCCTGTAGGGTTCACAGTGCTGGGTAATCTGCAGCTGTGTGTGAATAGTAGACTTGGGGGTAAGAGCTCCAGCATGTACCAGCTGCCAGATGGCTCCATCAGCAGACACACACACCCCCCACTGTATAACATTGAAAGCCTCTCCAATCCCGTACCAGTGAGTAATCACACACAGAATCATTTCTATCCTCACCACAAGTCCGGCACACAGAGCTGCAGGTGTGAAAACTGTTATGGGTCCTCTCACAGTCTGTATTAGTTTAAAGATTATTTAAAAAAAAATGATTACATTAAGTCATGAAGGGTGGATATGTTAAACAAATAATAAAATAAGAATTCCGTCATTTACTCTCATGTTGTTCCAAACCTGTATGACGTCTTTTCCATGTGACAGTTCAAAAAGCCTGCAGGCTGTCAAACTCCAAAAAGGGCAAAATACACTAAAAAGCACCATTAAAACAATCTGTGGCATAGTCTAATTTAGTAACATTCACTTATGTACAATTGTGGTTGTACATAAAAATGTGAAGAATGTTTCTTTTTGTGTTTCACAAAAAATAACAGGTTTGAAACAGTATGAGGGTACTTTTATGACCATTTTTTTTTTGTTTAAACATGCTAATGCTCTTTTTCACCCACTCAAATGAGGGAACCATGCCTGATTGTTCAATAACTCTTTTCGGCGCTTTGCTTCCTGTAGTTAACAGATTGCACTCACTCCATCCTCGCCGAAGTTGCCGTGGTGCTCTGTAGTCTCCAGAAGGAGCAGACGAGCCGAATAAGAGCACATATGGCTGGAAACACAGCTCCCCGCAGCAGCCTAGATTCACAGCAAGATGTTGCGCGATACCTGGGAGTGCATCTGACCTCTGTTAATTCACGTTAACAGAAGAAACGCATGAGGAGATGCACCGGGAGGTGTACTTGTTTTAATACGTCGGAACAATGATAGCACCTGCCTTGTGGGCTTTGTGTTGTTTACCCACAACCCAGTTAGTCTGTGATCTTGAGTTTTAATTTCCACAGCAAAGAGGGAACAGGAGATCACACGTTCACGTTAAGGCAAAATTGTTTTTATTATATTTCTTTTGGTTTGCTCTTTTTTTTTTTTTTTTAGAAAAAAAATCTAGTCTACTATAAGACAAATGGAAAAAAAGAAAAGCCCCATGAAAAGATTAAATTATAGCAAGAGCACTGGCATACCTTTACCCCAAAACTACAGATCATAAAACCTGTGGTCAACAAACATTTCAAACAAGACCAGGCCTGAAAATTACATGGTGGCCAGAAGGACATTTTTCTTCTATTATGAAGGAGGTCACTGATTGTCTTACTGGCGTAATATTGCATAATACAAGGTGTAGCCATGATTGTCAGAGCAAGAGCAGCACCAGAACTCTGGTGTTAGTCAAACAAAATTCAAGGCAAAAGCCTGCTGCCCATGATCAGCATCTGGTCTTCAGAGAGTCCAGTCACCATTTACCTTCAACAACTTCAGTCACTTCTTCCAATTTAGCACAAATTTAGTTTGTCTGCAGCATTCGCTCTGTTTGCTATTAAGAGACTGTGCTCTAGATTCATTGGATATAAATGAGGCGAGGAAGGAACGGAGGCCATGGCCAGATTACTACATCAACTACAAATAAATACATTTTAAAAATCTACCTAAATGTCACAGACCACAACAGCTGTGTCTGAGACACAATATGTGATCTGAAAAACAGTTGTTTAAGGCATCAGTCGAACGATATGTGGTCGGTCGATATAGGGTAAAAGTATGACAGTGTAAAGGCAGAAACCAAAGGACATCACATTTATAGCACGTACACTTTGTAAAAAATGGCTTTAAACACATCACAGTGAATAAGAACAGCATGATAGTTCAATCTCATAAAGCTAAGTTCAGATCCCCTTATGTTGAAAAATAGATAAAATATGAAAGGTGTGCGGATTACATGGAATGCTTTAAATTGGAAAAATACAGCAATACACACATACTGGATTCTTATGGGTAAAATTAGCCCTACATACTGCATATTTTCCCTCATTTTTGCATTTGTTTAAAAAAAGACTTACACAGAATTTAGAAATTCAGAAAATAAATAAATTTGTGGCCATAAATTGAATCTTAGTTGTATATTATATATATATATATATATATATTTATGTATACTGCGTTCCATTTCATATGAACAAGATTATAATGGGGAAATACTTTGCAGCTGATTTTGGAATTTGTCACTATATTCTCTAGTCTGTTACTATATACAAACAAAGTCTACTAGAACGGTCTCTTTGGACAGGCAATGCCCATTTCCATAAAAGCACAGTGCTTTTAAATTTGTGTGTGATGGAAAAATAATAACCTCTTCAGTTCTGATGGTATGAGGGGGATGAGATAATGTCATAATTCTGTATTTAAAACCGAGTGAATCATACAATCTTCCCCTTCAAAGCATCACTTCCAAAACAAAGCATTAACCACCTAGGCACTCTTTCAGTCTTATTCCAGTAGGCATTCTTTTGAAGTCCTTGAAGATGGCTACAAAAGAAAAAAAAAAGTTTATCCATCTTTTATGTCCTAAGCAACTGTGTGTGTTTTTTAAATCCTAAAGTCAGTGGTATGTTGTTGGTTTCTTTTTGGCTTCCCACCAACTCCTCCTTTGGTCCCTCTGCTGGATAAAGTCTTTGGATTTGTCTGTGGAGATAAGAAGAGACAGAAACATCTCAACTGGCACATATGGTGGGAATATCCCTGGTTGGAGAATGGCTGCTCTACTGTTGGGAGTTTGGAAGTGACAGAGAGCATACCAAAGAGCTTTCATCATGACATCATGGTCGGTATCCCTCAAGGTTCGAATTTAGGCACAATATCACAATAACTTTGAGTAAACAGCAGTCTTCGGGTCAACGCCCATTCTAAACAATCAAGAGCAATAAATTACAGATAATATGCTCCACTGAGATCCTCACGTGTTGGTCGATTGTGTCCACATTCCCCTGCTTCAGCCGAAAGTTTAGGTCTCAGCCGGTTCCGCCTTGACCTGGATGAAGTGGGATGCGGGTATCTGCATGGTGCCCTGCAATTCTTGCAGACCTTGAGAGCCCTCTAACAGCTCTTTAGCCTCAGGCTCCGGATGCAGAGCCACTTCTCCCCTCACTTCTAGTTCCTCCACGGGGGTCAGGCCCTCACTAGGGCTGCTGGCCAGCTGCAAGCCCATGTCCGAGTGTCCATTGAGGGTCTGGTACAGCTCCTGACCTGCACTGTTGATAATCACAGTTCTGTAGCTCAGCTCTGCCACTCCTTCCTCGAGCTCAGCTTTGCCATACCAGGCCACACTAGGGTTGCTGTTGACCAGAGATTGGAGGTACTGGGGGTCTAGGATCTCCTCCTTCACCTGCAGGCCTTGAAGTTCACTGGGCTTTAGGACAGTGGCGATGACCGTTCCAGGCTGCTGGGCCACTACGGGCTGCCCGTTGGCATTGAGAGTGACCAGGCGGGTGATGCCATTAAGAGATCCGGCTTGCTGTGATGTGGTGCTGATGACCCCTCCACTGGATGAACCCAGAGTGGACACAAGGAGCTGCTGGGACTGGATGCTGTCTGTCGTCAGAGAGGCAGTCTGGATGGTGAGCACATCTTTACTGCCAGGGCTGGTGGAAGGCACAGTGTGGAGAATGACCCGAGGTGGTGAGGCATGTGTAGAGGAATCCCCATTGGTCAGAACAGAGGACAGCGACAAGGTCTGCAGGGTGACTGGACCACCTCCTTGAGCTCCTGATGTGAGGACCATGGGAACAGAGCCTGGCATATTTATAGTCCTGAGAGAGATAGAGGGGCATAGGGTTATAAAGCAAGAGCACTTTAGCTCCAGTATAAGGAGAAGGAAAAATTATAAGGCGGCTTTGAATTATTAGAGCCAACTGTTTTTCAGATAAACTGTGGAACATGCAAAATATAACTTTTTTAAGCTAAAGAAATTAAATTTATGATACCATTGTTCTTAGATTTTTAAGTTCTTAAAATTAAGAAAATTTTACATAGATTATTCATTTGTGGCCATGCTGTACTAATTTGTTCCCTTGTTTTAGTTAAATTGTGGCCAAATTGTACTACTTTGCTCCCTTGTTTTAATTTAGTTAAATCATGGCCGCTTTGTACTACTACAGTCCCTTGTTAAAACATGGCCACGTTGTACTAATTCATTCCCTTGCTTATCGTGGCCACATTGTATTAATTTGTTCCATTGTTTTAGTTCAATTGTGGCCATGTTGTACTAATTCATTCCCTTGTTTTAATTTAGTTAAATCGTGGTCACGCTGTACCATAATTTAACTAAAATGAGGAGACAAATTCTTAATTTTTGGCCACGATATCTTGTTTTTTTCCTCATGCCATTTACAGGGCTCTGTAATTCGTGTTACAGCCTAGAAAAAAAAGTGTTACAAATGGCTCACTTATAAGGTCTATTTTGGTTATGATGCTGCTGCTTAAGAATGTAGCTACCTATGTAGGCAGCAAAGACAACAGATTTTGGAAAAGAGCTTTCAACAGTGGTTTTAAATTTGTTAGTACACTTCCTGCTTGTGTGTGTGGCTGTCTGTTTATGTATGTATTTGTGCACACAAAAATGCCCCTCACCTCACGGAGTGTGTAGACGCTGGGACAGCAGCTCCTTGATTTGGCTGAAGAACATGGACGGTCTGCACCAGCTGTTCTGCTTGTTTTCCATTGCCGTTCAGCCCGGGACTCATCTCTCTCTTCACTGACTTCACCTGCACGCTCTTCCCATGTGCACGTGATGAACCGTGGCCCACTGCCCGTCCGTGAGGAGTGGACCGTTGCCCTCCGTAGCCAGAACTGGCATCGTCCCCTTGGCTATCATCCTCATCAATAATGACCAGATCTGAGGGCATCTCCTTAAACTGGTAAACAAGCCTCTGTCCTTCAACCTTGGCCAGTATACCCCTCTGGTAATAGTACCTAAAAGAGAGCGAGAGGAAGTAGGAGGTCAAGAAAAGCAATTCCTCTGGCATGATTGGTCCCTCTGGGTGAAGTGTTTGTAACCATTGGCTCACCTGAGTGCTCTGCCCATGGTTTCGTAGTTCATATCAGGCTTGTTTTTGTGCTTGCCCCACAGCTTGGAGACAGCCTTGGAGTCCACCAGCTTAAAAATGCCCTTCTCTCTCTGCGTCCATTTGATGTATTTGGGACAGGTGTTTTTGTCTTGCAGCAAGGCCAGGAGGAACTCCCACAGGTAGATAGTGTTACCTACAAGAATAAGGGTCTTTTATATTCCTCTGTCGACTCATTAAAATTTTAGACTTATAAAAAGCTTAAACCCCTTTTATATTTCACACGTGATTCCACAGGTCTTATTTAACAAGCCGAATTGGCAGAGGTGCAATTATTGTATTCTTTCTCATAAACATAAATAAATCAATTCTCCCTTCATGGTAACCCTACGCCGGGCTAGAAATTAATTAGAGGGGCCTGGCACTAGATTATTCTTTTTTGTCGTGTGTTTTGGCCAGAAGTGGTTAAAAACAGCTACTCTGGCAGTGGGAGCCGGAGAGAGAACAGACCGGCGTGTCAAGGTGATGTATATGTATGCGGCCGGCCTCCTCTCTGAGCTCGGAACAGGTCGCATGCATAAGGGACCTCTATCAGGACAGCATCGATGTGCCCTCCAGCTCGCTATCACTTTTAGTTCCCTCACAAACGCAGCACTTTGATAGCACCTCATCAATTAAGCAGCCACAGCACTGCCAGCAAAGCCCCGTAAGAGCAACTCATGATGCATGCGGGAGACAGAGAAGCGATAGTTTAGAACTTTTTCTCCTTTACTACCGTGCAGCGGTCCGAGGTCATGCTTACCTTTGCCCTCTTTGCTCTTTTTCTTCAACGGGAGAGTTGGATTGGTGATAGGAGAGCAGGGCCGCACTGGTCTTGGTTTGCGCACTGCAGGATGATTGCAAGAAAATAGTTACCTCTCAGACTGTCAGAGTAACTAAATATGTTAATTAATTCTAACATAAAATAAAAATCATATAAATAAAAAATCTGATGTATTTGGTTATCTTTTGAACATTTTTATATTCTCTTGTCTCACCTTTAGTTTTTAATATAATGCCGTAAAAAATAAAAATAAAAACACTGAGGTGTACATTGCCTTCTACTGGAGAATGTTGGTACCTTTGCTTTTCCTGGCAGGCTTGGAAAGGTTCCTTTGAGGGATCTCATCCACGGAGGATGTCTCATCATCCAGGGGAACATCCATGCAGCCGTTTGAGAGCTGCTCTGGACGCAGGGAAATGTAGGTCAGGTCTGATTCCAGGATGTTCCCATATGTGTGAACTACAGAAGGGTAGAGGTCAAGTATGAGTATGTGTTTATAATTCTGTTTGCTTAAACACAGGCAGAGCTGAAATGAGAAATAATATCAGTATGTGCTAACTGACTGAAGTATGCTGCGTTTTTTAAGAAGTCTCCCCACAAACATTTCTAAAAAGAAAAAAAATAACAGCACCACGTAAACCAAAAGTGAGTCATCACATACTCATGCGTTTCTCATCCAGGATGTTATTGGGAGATTCCATGTTCAGTAGGGCCTCAGCCGCCTCGATAGTCTCCATATTGTCCTCTCCACTTGAGACAGAGGTCTCTACTGTGGACAGAACATATTTCCATCAACTGACAAACACTAAGCTAGTGTTCCACTATCATGGCTTTCACTTCAAATGTGCTTGGCAGTAGTTTTCTGGGAGAAAAATTTAAAGAACAAATAGATAAAGTGATTTGTGAAGCTGTCCATTATGGTTACACAGAAAGATTTTGAAATCAATACTTTTATGTAGGATGCATTAAATTGATCAAAAGTGACAGTAAAGACATCTATTATGTTACAATATATTTCTATTTCAAATAAACGCTCTTTGTCTGAGCTTTCTTCAAAGAATCCTGACAAAAGCATATCATGGATTCCACAAAAATCTTTACAAAAAAATGCAAAACTGTTTTCAACACTGATAATAATAAGAAATGTTTCCTGAGCAGCAAATCAGAATATTGGAATGATTTCTGAAGGATCACGTGATCACGTGAAAAATTCAGCTTTACCATTGCATGGAAAAATTACATCTTATAATGAATATATTCAAATAGAAAACCATTATTTTAAATTGTACTTCATTTTGAATATTTGGCAATATTACTGTTTTTACGGTATTTTGATTAAATAAATGTAACCTTGATGAGCAGAAGAGACTTCTTTCAAAAACACCTCAAACTTTTGAACAGTACTGCATATATACTGTATAAACAGTGTTGTGGATTGTTTCAGGTGCAATGCACATTTTCATGAGAAAAAAAAACATCATGCCACCTATAATTGTGATCACTTATTGGACTCACCAGAGAGCCCCACATCTCCCATCATGCTCTCTTCCACCACATCCTGAATGGCATCCACCATGATGCCATTAGTCACCTCATCTGCCTCCAGTCCAGAGTACACCTGCATGAGGTCGGCAGCGGGCACCTGCTCCACGATCACTGCTGGGAACACTGAAGGGTCGTCCAGCTGTGGGAGAACAAACAGAGAGATAAATGTGCCATTGATCTAAAATCAACCGTTCTGCGATGCTCTCAGCGGAAAGGCAGTAAAGAGCACCATAATTGCTTTAAAACACATAAATTTGCCCCTTCCCTGCAGATGAAAGCTTCTAATCCACAATCGTCCAGGTTACTTATATTCACAGAGGCTGCAACTAATGGCCCATTCATAATGGCTTTAACCTGAGCTGGTTCAGTCACTTGGTTGGACTCTCAATACGTGACAGCATAACAATAAGGCCTGAGACGAGCCTGTGTGGTATTAATGACATAAACGCAAATGTACTACAGTTCCAGTAAGGTTCTTATACACATGACCCTGTTTGCTCCCAGGGTCATGAGCTTCATGCCAAAAGCACCATTTCAGGCTTTCTCATTTCCACCAGCATTCCTAAGCGAGGGTGGAGATCACATGGGGGGAAAGAGGAAATAGTTGGTGCTGGACTCTAAAGCCACAAGAGACTGTTCCTCATCCCCCACCACAGTCAACACAGCCAAAATATACTATCATACTTAATAAACGATGTCTTTCTTCTGCCCTTTATGTTTTCCTACTCTTAAAGGTGGTCTAGATGAGCAATTTGAAGGGCTTTTCTTAAAAAAAACAGCTCCATTTCCAGGGAAAACTGGTGTTGAAGACAGCATCACTGAGTAAGGGACTCTGTGTGTGTGTGTGTGTGTGTGTGTGTGTGTGTGTGTGTGTGTGTGAGAGCGAGAGAGCGAGAGAGAGAGAGAGAGAGAGAGAGAGACCAACCGAATCTCATTAGCCGGATAGCAGCTCTCATTAGGCCTCTGGCAGACGATATGTGCAAACAAGGCAAAACGTGTCAGATATGCGTGAACATTGACAGAGCGGGAATAATTCAAGAGAAACTGCAGTCTGATCAAAGTCTAGTGACCTTTATTCTGACACTTGTTAGAGGACCGCTTAAATTATGCAACTGTTCATTGTGAGCTTGACAAGTGACTGCCTTCCTTAAGGACTACATTTCATGATTTATTCTGCAAATTTTTTAAATTATTGAGAACACATGCACGCATGTGTCTGTTGTGTTGTATAACCATTAGATGGCAGCAGAATGCAGTTTATCACCTTTCCAGTTGTGCAACTGTGTGAAGATGAGCAAAACAAGAACAAAATGCAAAGACCATTCCTGGCCAAAGACAATAATCATACACACGCACAAAAATAAATAATATTTAACAATAACTGATCAGTGTACTACAGTACTTCAGGGATGCTTGAAATATTGTCTCTTTGCAAACAAGATTGTGAAACACATAAGCCATCTCTTCCGTTGGCAGGATTTTCTGTTTTTGTTCCATCATCCTTGGACTATTTGCTGTTGTTATGGCATTTTCCCCAGAGACTCGATGGGTTTAGCTTTCAAATCTCAGTTCAAGGCCAGAATAATTCATTCAGTACAGTTTAACACAAGCTCTAAACTACTAGAAACAGATTCAATAGCGACACTTAAAATTAGCTACTGTTTAATTTGGATATACACTACCATTCAAAAGTTTGGGTCTGTAAGATTTGTTTTTTAAATGTTTTTGAAAGGAGTCTCTTATGTTTACCAATGCTGCATTTATTTGATTAAATACAGTAAAAAAAAAAAAAAAACAGTAATATTGTAAAATAATGTTGCAATTTAAAACAACTGTTTTTTTGTTTACTGGCCATCTAGCCCAAGACCCTACACAGAGTGCATGATAGTAAAATGTAATTTATTCCTGTGATGGCAAAGTTTAATTTTCAGCAGCCATTACTCTGGTCTTCAGTGTCACATGATAATTCAGAAATTATTCTAATATGCTGATTTGCTGCTCACGAAACATTTAATATTATCAATGTTGATGACAGTTGTGCTGCTTAACATTTTTGTGGAAATTTTTATCCTTTTCGATAAATAGGAAGTTCAAATCATCTGTTCATCAGTGTACTAAGAGAAGAGTGTTAACTAGGCTAGACAGACACTCTGTGAATTCCACAAGCCCTGACTGCTTAGTAAGCAGGAAACGTAGTCTTGCTCTGTGCATTTGTCCATGTCCTCCCTCCCGCCCTGCCATACTGGGGAACTACAGACATCAGATATCAGGATTATGCAAAAAACTTTGGTGATCGGTTTACATATTCTCTCTCATACTGCCTGACAAGTAAATGCAAAATCGCAGAACATATCTGTATAGTCTATACAAAGTTCAAATTCAATGTCTTGCATAAAATCCATGCTATTTGTCATCAAACCAATTTATGATGTAATAAACATGGCATAAAAATCAGCTGAATAGCTCTGCCCTAATAAATGTAAGATTGTAATACTAATACAGCTCTTCATATGCCAATATCTCAATCTTGCACATTAGTAAAAAGAGTAAAGCTTCTGTTTTTAAAAAAAAAAAACAGAGACTGCCATAAACCTGTAACATCCTTTTTTTCCACAATAATCAACCACATTTCTAAAAGGGAAACATCAGATAAAGATCAGTCATTTGCATAGTTGAGTTCCGTGTTCCTACTGTATGCATAAACCCGATAGCATGCGGCGTGTTTTACAGTTACACTCTCTTCTGCTTTACCTGACGCCAGTTGTGATACTAACCCACTGATGCAATCTAAGACCCTCACTTGCAATGTCGGAGACAAGTTCTTGGATGATTTCCAAACACTGTGTACTACGCAGGTGTCACGAGACAGCTTTTTAGCAATAAATAAATTGACCACTATAGAAAATATAGAAAAGGTGATTTAATATACTGTGTGGATGCACCAATACAGTTGATTCCATGATATCATGCAAGTAAAAATGCTTTGATACCAAAAAAACAATTGTTGCATAAAGTTCGCCACACAAAGAAACACTGGCAGCCAAACTACATGTAAATGGATTGAAGAAATTTTGACATACACTGCCATTCAAAAGTTTGAGGTCAGTAAGTTTTTTAGAAGTCTCTTATGCTCACCAAGGCTGCAATTACAGTATTTGACAAAAATACAGTAACAACTGTAATACTGTGAATCTTTCAGAAATGATTCTAATATGCTGATTTGGTGGTTAAGAAACTTTTCATATTATTATCAATGTTGAAAACAGTTGTGTTGCTTTAATTTTTGTGGAAACCATTATTCTTTTTTTTTTTCAAGTTCATTTATGAAAAGAAAGTGCAAAAGAACACTATTCATTTGAAATCGAAATCTTTTGTAATATTATAAATGTATTTACCGTCTATTTTGATCAATTGAATGAGTCCTTGCTGAATAAAGGTTGTGCTCGTTTATACAGTAGCGGTGAGATGTTTGATTACAGTTAACAAAAGCTATACGTTGTTGTACACAAAATGACTTAACTAGGAGTTGTCTGTTTACTAAACTAATTATGCCAACTGATATGATTCCTATGTTTGGTATCTCTCACCCAATATATTTTTATGCTTTAAAATAATTGAAGAAAGTGGTAATCAAGTATTTTAATTTTAAAATACTATGGTGATCAGTAGCATCCTGTATTTGATATAATCACTAGTGGAATTAAAGGTTTATTAAATACCTCCCTCAAATTATAGTCTCATTGAAAAATTAGAGCATTACTAAATTAGAGCATTACTAAAAATACAAGTATCGGTATCAGTGAGAACCAAAACCAAGTGTCAATATTTGCACTCAGTCTCTAAAAAATTACCTGTGCATCCCTATTTTATACAACCCTATAAATAATTAAACTTACATGCACAATAATTTGCAGATCAAAAAATCAGCCCATTCTGAAAACCTGATGATGCAAGAAAACCTTGTTCACACAGAAATTCTTTTGTTTTGACATCAACAGTCATTCACATGAGACATGCGCATACTGAATAAGTCACTAGAATGTAGGTAAAGGTGTTTACATACCGAGTGATCTAGTTGTGCCAGTTGTTTTTTTCTTTTTTTTCTTTTTTGCTTAAAAAGTTTGCAATCTTTAGCAGACGTTTGTAAGACATTATGCTATATTAGGTTAATAAGATAATCAGTGTAAGATTGTGCACTCAGTGACTCTAAGTGGAAATCTGGATCTAGTACACAACTGCTGTTGTGTGCAGTAGCTGAACTCTGACACGATGGCTTAATATCATTTCACTCACATTACAAGACGACTTGAATTATGGGAGTAATTATTGACTCTAGGTTCAGCACAGCTAATAATAAGATAATCAGTGTAAGATTGTGCACTCAGTGACTCTCAGTGGAAATCTGGATCTAGTACACTGCTGTTGTATGCAGTAGCTGAACTCTGACACGATGGCTTAATATCATTTCACTCACATTACAAGACGACTTGAATTATGGGAGTAATTATTGACTCTAGGTTCAGCACAGCTAATCATTACAGTCCACACAAGCAGCTGGACACATTTCATAGCACTCGTGTGTGGAAAACCCTGCACAAGCAGTGAGAAGCGTCAAGGTTTGTTTTGCACAGTCTCCGAAAAAGCAGCTCTATTGTTATTAGTGGGAGTCAAAAGATATCTGAGACTGTCGGGCAACTGGTAGAGCTTATTTATGATGGTGTGGTAATACAGTGGGGGGATTTAGGGAGTGACTTAGAAGCCAGTGTCGTTTCAAAACAATAGTAGATTTCTGGGTGGAACAGGACTTGTCTCCTACGCTGCAACAAGTTGAGCAGGTTAGGCCTGAATCTAGCATTCAGTTCTCTTTCAGTCTGTAAGAGAAGAGGCATGGGATTCGATAGAAGACTTGTCACACCTGAGCCATTCACATGACTGTACAAACACACTTAAGATGAAGATCAGAATTCTGGAGTCATCTGAACTCAGACAGAATATACACAGAACAAACCAAAACACACAAGCATGGCAGCATGCCTGCATCCGCACATACTGTAGAGTGGCCTGAAAAGTATTTGGATACTTTTGCCACAATTAAAAATGTATGAATGTATGTGCATGACCTAACAAAAATATGAAAAGAAAATTAAATAAATGTAGCACAAGCACATGTCTTGGTCACAAAAAACTTTGTTGGGTTTCAAAATATGAAATTATAAATACACTACCGTTCAAAAGCTTGGGGTCAGTAAAACATTTTTTTTTAAGAAATTAATACTTTTAATCAGCAAGGACACAAATCAATCATGTTTAATGTCACAAAATATTTATATTTCAAATAAAGTTGTTCTTTTGAACTTTCTATTTATCAAAGGAAAAAATGAAGAAAAAAAAGTATCAGTTTCCATAAAAAGCACCACAAATGCTTTCAGCAATGTTAACAATAACTAAGAAATGCATCTCGACACCAAATCAGCAAATTAGAATGACTTCTGAAGGATCAAGTGACACTGAAGGCTGGAGTGCAAAAAATTCAGCTTTGCATCACAGGAGTAAATTACATTTTTAAATAAATTCAAATATGAAAATTTGTAAAATCATTTCATAAACACTTGTTTTGACTGAATAAATGCAACCTCGGTCAGTATAAGAGACTTCTTTCAAAAACGAAAACAAAAAATCTTACCAACTCCAAACTTTTGAATTGTAGTGTATATTGTTCAAAAACATTGGCTGTTTTCTGGTCAAGCTTTGCTGAACATGTTTACTGTGCGAACTTGAAGAGAACTGACATGACTTAAAACACAGCTTGACTTGAAACAGTGACCTCTAGACCAGTTGGTAAAAAACAAAAAAAGAGTTTAAAAAATGGCTCAGAAAAGTGAAGTTCTCAAATAGCTCCAGCATTAGTTTGCAGATTTTTTTGGGGGGCCACTGTATGTAACATAATTAGGTGTCTTGAGGCTCAAATGCTACCTTTATTCCCAACCAGGTTTTCGTAAAAGACTACTGTACAAACACACTGAGTTCATACTGACTGGCTATTCCTACACCTCAGTCTTTCCATCTGTGCCCTGCCAGCAATACACACAGTCATCTCTCAACCCTCTCCTTGCACTCTTCATTTTCCACCTTCCTCCCTCCCTTCCCCTCATGCCCGGAATCAAAGGCGCAGACCTCCAAAAACCCATATCACCTCCTTGAGACCTGGCCTGTGAAGCTGGATGGACAAAGACAGTACCTAAACATAATGAAACCACAAGTTTACGTGCCTAATAACAAAGATTTCTAGCACCAAAATGTTTTTACGGTTTTCAGGTCAACGATGAAGGGCGGTTCATAGTCTGATAACACAGAAAACAACAAACGTGACTGTGATGTACCTGATTGATTTCATCCATCCCATTACTGGCGAACTCAAAGACAAGCTCGCTGGACTGGACCGCAGTGGTCATGGTGTTGTAGGGAGAGAAAGGGTAGGACACAGGCTGACAGGCAGAGGGTTCCTACCCCTCCACGCACTCCCCGGACCGCTTCACTCCACACCACACCCCTCGGCACAGGAAGCACTCTGAGGCAGGAACACTGCTGAGGTAATTTGCTGCTTTCACAAAATGAGAGGCACTGTTAGGCAAAAACAGAGTTCCCTTTTTTGGTCCTGCACGCTTCTGGGGGGTTTTTTCTCCAGATGACGTACAGAGTGGCGGAGGACTACGTGACTGTGTGATGGAGGAGGATTCTTCTCACTCCAACTGCGTCTGGGGCATCTAAACCTTCAAGAGAGAAACAGAGGAAAAGGAACATTAGGAAACTGCGACTGAGCAAAATGGGCTGTGTCACATTATTAGAGAGAGAGAGGGCTGGGATGGCCGGACGAGCCAGAGACGGTACCGTTGTGACTGAGGCGAGGGGCTAATTTTCTGACTCTATGTTCGCTCACTGCTGGAGAGACTTTCTGCTCACCAATCCCATTTTTGGCTTCAAACACACAAAGCTGCCCCAAAGTCAGACTCTGAGAATGTCTGGCCAGGCATAATGAAAATGGCCGAATGGAAAACACAATCCACTTCCCAGCAAATTTATCACTGGCCACTAGGGCTGTGCGATATTGAAGAAAAATGCGATATGCGATAACTCATTACATAATGCGATAGTCGATATGCGATATGATAATGCTTAAAGTGCCACATGCTCAGATGTTTTACTCAGCTGTTGCTGAGTCAGTTCTGTGAACTTCTATAACTATCTTGTGTCATATATATACTGTGTATGTATGTATCAAGAGCTCCTGTAAAACCACAACTAATTCCTTGTGTTTGCGCAAACTTAAGTTGTGAATAAAGCTCATTCTGATTCTGATTCTAATATAACTAGCATACATGTTTCACTTTTTGTGAGAAGGGCCACTTAACGTTTCTCACTTTGACTCCAGTTTACCCTCTGAGATCACAACAATACAACTGTTGCATTGCTCTGTCACTCTATATTCACTAGGGATACACAATATATCAAGTGTTATATCAGTTATCATCCAATTATTTAAAAAAAAAACTAAATATATTTTAAATATAATTTTTATATATTTAAAATACATTAATTAAAATGTTTTTTAAAAATTAAATACTTAGCCAATAACTATATGACGCTGATAATTAAAATTGTATTAGAATTATTTTTTTAAACATTATTTAAAATAATTTTAAATAACAGTTTAAATATTATTTTAATTCACTTCATTATTTAATTAACTTTATTATTATTATTATTATTATATATTATAATTGTTTTGTTGTTGTTGATAATTTGCTTTAAAAATCACATTTTAAAACTCTGATGTGCAAAGCCATCAGAACCGAACCGAACTGAAAACCGTGGTTAATAAACTGAAGTATGTACTGAACCGTGGGCTAACTGTATTTTTGCATCCCTAAAATATACACACACACACACACACACACATATATATATATATAATCTCACTTAATCTCACAATGAATATCATTTTTCATACTGTACATTATATACATATGTAAATATATATATAAAGCACTGTTAATCTCCCAATAAATATTTTTTTCCAGCTTATAGGTATCAGATAGAATTTAAATATTGCTATAGTAATAATACCATTCACACACTTAGCCAATAACTATATGACGCTGATAATTAAAATTGTATTAGAATTATTTTTTTAAACATTATTTAAAATAATTTTAAATAACAGTTTAAATATTATTTTAATTCACTTCATTATTTAATTAACTTTATTATTATTATTATTATTATATATTATAATTGTTTTGTTGTTGTTGATAATTTGCTTTAAAAATCACATTTTAAAACTCTGATGTGCAAAGCCATCAGAACCGAACCGAACTGAAAACCGTGGTTAATAAACTGAAGTATGTACTGAACCGTGGGCTAACTGTATTTTTGCATCCCTAAAATATACACACACACACACACACACACATATATATATATATAATCTCACTTAATCTCACAATGAATATCATTTTTCATACTGTACATTATATACATATGTAAATATATATATAAAGCACTGTTAATCTCCCAATAAATATTTTTTTCCAGCTTATAGGTATCAGATAGAATTTAAATATTGCTATAGTAATAATACCATTCACACTATTCTTTCTGCAGATAATCAACATAAATCAACAAAAGCTATGATACAGCTGGTCTACTCTACTGTCATTTTGAATGCCTAGTTTAATTCGTCAAGGTTCAGATGTAATAAGTGAACCTCTTCAGTGGCAGTGTGGAGGAAGGGGGAGGGCATGGATTGCCACAGGATATGAGATCAGCCAGCCTGATCAAAGGGGTACTGTAAACAAGGTTGTGTTATCAGTCACTTGAGTAAAAAAAATGGCTCAGAACACACCCTCATCCAAAGTCCACATCCACTCCTCACACTGGAGCCAGCTAAACTACAGAAACTCAAAAACACAAGAATCGCAGGCCATTGAGAGAAAAGAGTACCCTCTGTCCGTCCCTGAGGCAGCAAGGAGGAACAGGAGGGGCTGCAGTCTGGTTAAAGATTAAACGAGGGCAGTGGGGAAAGGAGAGGTGGTTTGGCCAAAACACTGAAGGGGGGTGTAAAATGGCAGCGGAGCAGCCCATGTCTCCTCTGTGGCAGGGTGGGGCTTGTTTGCTTTGAAAGGACATTGTGTGTGTCAACAAGTGCATACCAGGTTGAATGGTGTCTGGGGGGTTAGGGTTGCTCTTTAAAGGAGTATAATGGGGGCAGATAAAGAGAATAGGAAAGATAGGCCCATGTGGGTGGCAGGGAGGTCAAACAAATGTTCTGTTTAGTTCAGACTGTGCCCAAGGCCCTCGTAGCAGCTGGAGTCCGATACTCAACATGGGGCCTCGTGCGGCCTTGTTTCTCCAGGAGAGCGTGGAACAGGATGAGGTATGCCAGAGAGGCCCAGCCTATTATTACCACTAACCAGACGGCCCCCCCCCAAGAGCCCTTCGGCCCTGCCTCCTTTCCACAGCATGGGGCCAACATCTGGAGCACCCCGCTGAAGGTTCCCTCTCCCTGCTTTGGTCAAGACAAGCTCTTTGAAACAATTATTTATTTTCTTGCCACCACAATGCTCTGGGAGTTGTCACGTGGTTGCTAGGGCGTTCTGGGTCGTTGCTATGGGTTTACGTCAAATCAAAAGAGTCTTTTTGATGATCTGGTAGGGTATATTAAAAGAGATATTAAAATTCTATTCTATTTTTTTTAAGTCTCTACAGTAAAAATAGTAATATTGTGAAATATTATTACTATTTGTAACTGTTTTCTATTTTAATATATTTTAAAATATAATTTATTAAAATTTTCAGCAGTCATTACTCCAATCTTCAGTGTCACATGTCATGATCCTTCAGAAATCAGTCTAATATGCTTATTTGATGCTCAACAAACATTTCTTGTTATTATAAATGCTGAAAACTGTTGTGTTTGATAGTTTTGTGGAAACTGTGATAATTCTTTGATGAATAGAAAGTTCAAAAGAATAGCATTTATTTTATCTTTCGTAGCATTATAGATGTCTTTACCATCACCTTTGATCAATTTAATGCACCCTTGCCAAATAAAACATTTGAATGGTAGTGTAGACCAATACAATAACTAGAAAAAAATAGATATCTATTTAATCAGCTGATGCATCATGTATCCCTAAATTCTGTTTTTTTTTTCTAGATGCTCAGGTCTCCCTATCAGTGTCAAGGTAAATCTATGGTGTATTTTAGAGCATTTTATATCAAATAAAAGTACACTTTTTCTCAATAAACCACACAATTTGAGGTATCGCCCATATCTGTAGCATCAACAGTGCTAGAAATGATAATCACAACTATAGTGATACCCCTGGCAAAATAAGACCACACACAGAGTGGGTCATGCCTACCTCTGCAGTCTGGGAAAGCACTCGCCCATGAAGTCTCCGTAGCGTTAGACAAGGGTCAGAAGTCGACAAGCGAGAGCATGGCTGAGTTCTGCCTCCTCCTTTACAGACTAGCTCAAAATGGCCTCATGTCATTCTCAGTTCTTCTTTTCAATTCAAAAAGCTCTCTGTACCTCAAACTGCAGCTGCGTACGCCGCAGCCAAAGCTCGCAGCTTGAAATTCTATTAGACAATCTTGCCATGGTCTACAGCCCTGCTTTTGAGTAATGAAGTCATTCACACCATTTGACGGTGATGTGCTGGCAAATGAAAGCGTGATATGGGATTGACGAGAGCATTTCACACAGAGAGATGAGCCTGGTGGGGAGCAAAATCGTGCAAATCTGTGATTGCGTGCATCATGCCGCTCTCCACGCTGATTCCCAGCGGTATATAACGAGACCTCGTACCGTGCACATGGCGACTGGCGAGTGATCTACGCCACTGTGACTGCAGCCTGGGAATGATACAAGTGGATGTGACAACACTTGCCTTGTCCCAACACATGCACATGCACATGCAAATGGGCCAAAACAAGGGCCTGCCGCACGTCATCCAGAGGCGCCGAGAGGGAGGGAGTGTTACTCAGTACTCAAGACTTCAGTAAGCAAACACTCTCCAGGGTGGGGCTCGCATGGAATCACTCCATGACTGAGGTCTGTCAAGAATACACGCTCAGCAAGAAAGGTAAAACTATGATGTGTACATGAAAAATGTCCATTCAAGTCTCTAATTGTCCTGATAAAGCAGCTGGTACAGGTCTGGCAAAGTGCCTAGTCTGTGTTATCAAAACAAGTAAAGATATAGCAAGACGCTGACTAAAATGTTAAATGGAATAACCAGTTTTGAGGGGAGAATGATTACGAACAAATACATCTTACCCTGTTGACCCTGTCGACCCACCCGCCCCTGTAGAGTCCTCAGCTGAGCTCAGTGTTGACCATGAAAGGAGGTAATTTAAGCCAACCGAATGACTAAGCCATGAGTCACCCTGCAATGGAATTTAATCACAGAGCAAGCAAATTCAAACATGAATGATCAACTAATGTAGGTGAGTGGTTTGATGGGAACGCTCATGGATTCAAGATGTGGTATGATCATGAGATGCCATATTCTGATGATGTCACAGGGATGGATGGAGATGGAGGTTTTGGAGAGGGCGAAGTCATCTCTAGTTACACTGTGGGGAGTGATGTCATGGCAATAATGATGTCAACACATTTGAGAAAAACTTGTCTAGAGTGCCTCTCAAAATAGCTTGGGATACTAGGGCTTTCGGAGAGATACTGACTAAGGGAAAGCGAGAGGAA